TTACCTAAGTCACCAAAAAATACTTGCTTTCCTACATGTAAAATAAAATGTGTCATTGTCAACTAAGTACTGCACTCATTTTCTAAAAATATTGCTGCAAACAGACGTGAATAGTTTTTTCATCTCCCGAAAATTTATAAGTGATTTAGGGTATTTCAGCAATACACGATTCAATTGATATAGCTGTAAAAACAGAAAAACAAATACATAAGTGTCACGACGAGGCCAGCGAGCTGTCGTTTACACTATCGCGAGAATTGCTGAACCCAATTTCGAATATCAACTAAAGTTGGTGCTCTAACATGCTATCTCTAGAGCCATAAGCATCAGCTTAATGGAGATGACTATAGCGTGTATGCTACATAGCGCGCATGTATTATTAGAGAGCGCGAGGGAAGGACGTCAGATGAAAATCGAATCATGCAATTAGGCCTGATTCATTTGCAGTCCCGTAGCGTGCGTGCTAATTGCACAAACGGATCCAACATCGATATTTGCGCTGACCTTTTATAAGGTACAAGGATTTTGCATAGCGCCTAACAAAAAGTGATCGCTGAAAAAAAACATCGCGGAATAAAATAACGAAACAACAAAGAACCGTATTCGTCCGCGTATTCAGAACTGACTCACGTATTCTCCCGTTTTCCGATATTCATGGGAGAGACAGATCGAATTACCGCGTTAGCGCGTTTAACTCGTCAATTGTAGATTGGCACACGTAGCATAGGAGCTATAACTCATAGTAATTGTTGAATACAGAACTAGGCGTGTAATTTGCGAAACTCTTATTCATACGTGGAAACTGTGCGATTTCATTCTCTTTAGCTGGTGCAAAAAGAAATTAAATCCAAGATACAAGAATTCACAGTAGTTTAAGAGTATTCAATCCGAAATATTTCTAGATATTTTTTATATTTTATTAAATATTTACTATTCTCCCGAATTCTGGATATTCTATCAAATCAGCCTTAATTAAACATGCTAATAAATTCGTGTATTAATCATCTATTTTAAAAACTTTACAATGTTTAATTATTTTGTTTGTTTCTCTCGTTCTGTGCATATATAAATATAATATAGCGTGTTAATTTGTACATTTTCTATTGAGCAACTTTGTTTCCAACGAAGCATTACAGTATATTTAATTCTATGTTTATTGTATATTAACAGCCACAAGTTGTTACAAATTTGTTATAGAGTGACTAACTCCACAATAATGTTGCAATCACATACACATCAGAATCACCATTAAAATCTATTTTAATTGTATCCTATGACTGTTATTTCAACTACATGTTCAGATTCATTTGGTCATGATTTTTCATGAAATATTGAATAATCTCGTTACCGGTTGGAATAACTCGTTTGGAAAAAATGCATAAATTTATATATTTGGATATGATTTATTTATTTGGATTGCGTGGATACGCAATATTAAACGAAGGTAATATTCTAAATTAAATTTAGTAATGTGGAAACAGAAAAATGTATTTAAAATAATAATTTAGAAAAGATGATGTCTACAGTAATATCAAGAGGTAATAAAAAACATTAAAGACATTTAAAAATAAATTATTATGTAAATCAATGCACAAAAATCTGAATCATGAAATAAGTTTCTCGTGATAATTTTAAAATCCTATTATTACAAATCAAAGTTCTGATAAATATTCATATTATGTAAGTTTTTTAAATAAAGACGTTTTGTAAATATATGAAATACTCAGAATTATATACTCGTTGACTATATGTATATGTAGCAATCGTTAGAATAGTGAAATATTTTGTGTACAAATGGAAAATATAAAAAATATAATCACTTCAAAACTCTGTTAACTAACTATAGAAACTATATTAAGCACGACAAGAACTTTAACCATTTTAACTTTTTCATGATAAATTTTTAGCATCCTTTTTTTTAATTTCATTTCTCTCGTTTTAGCTCGACGATGGCGCGTAAAAGAGGACTTAAGCCAGATCAGCACTTATCAAGGCAGCGCTGCAGCGTAATGCATATTAAATGAATACCTCATCGAAACCAGCGCGGCACGGTACGTCGAGAGCCAATGTGCACTGGCTTGTTGTTTACAATAACAATAAAAATCCGCGATATTGAATTCGTCGACTAAAACGCACCTTCCACACTGTACCAATATTACCTTTTATGACGGCGAATGAAAAAATATTCGATACGGCACTTCTACTATTTGCATACGTCAAAGCATCGATACATTCAATCGATATTCGAGATTGAAACAATATCAAATCCGGATAACAAGTATTAATATTAACGGATAGTCTGCCACTTAAGGAAAGGGGGAAAGTGAAACAAAATTTAAATATTTTATTTATCGGCAGGGTCTCAAACAGTAAAAAACAAACTTAAACAGTTTAGTCTAATATCTCGACAATTAAGCATGGTAGGCAAAAATGTTTCAGGCAAAAGTTGGAAATTATGGAAATTCTGAGGGAAATTATGCAAGTTGAAATATCCAATTATATACCTTTTTTGAAAAACAATTATGTGTTTTCATTACACTAATTGAATCATCTCATTATTCTGCATGAAAGTATTGAGGTACGGTTATTGAATAATTAACAGTTTACGAGATACTTTATATTTCGTAACAAAACACCAAATTATACTAAAATTAAGTATAAAATCTTGTGAATTATTATTTTCATACACAATAAATCTACTTTAATATTTCTATATGCAGAATAACTAGAAAAATCATATTACGTAAAAAAGTCATAATTTCATTTTAAGAAAAAGTTGAAAACTTTCATCTAAAAAAATTTTTAATTGATTTATTATTATTATTATTATTATATTATTTGTTCTTTTTTCTAGATTATACCACTTTTGTCTAATACATTTTTGCTTATACCGGAGTCAGTTTTCGAAATATTTTAATTGCTAGATTATTTGAGATAAAACATCTCGCATACTCCATAGCTCCAGAATTAGTCATATTTATTACTTATATAAGATTTTAGAATTAAGTTTTAATAAAAGAATATTATTATTAGTATATTATAAATTATTCTACATTTTATATATTATAATATTATATCATAATATATTTTCATATTGTATATCGTAAAATTTGACAAAATTAATCATATTTTCCCGTTTATTGTCAAGTTTACTGTTTGTTAATTAACAAATGTGTTTATTTAAAAATATATACAATCAATAATATTTAAAAATATTAATGTTTGCATAACATACACGGTAGCAAAAGAAAAAAAGAAATTCATTTAAATGTATTGTCATATTTATAAATATTAAAAAGTTGCTTTTATCATAACAGATAATAATATAATTTTTAAATAATGCTAACATTAGCAATGCAACATTGCTTTATTATTTCTTTTTTACCATCGTATATACGTACTTATATATTTATTATTTATGATCACATCTTTTCAAGTAGATTAAACAAACGCTACAAAATATTATTTTAATTTACAACATAGAAACAAATATTGTTACGTCAGACAGAAATATTGTAAATTTAAAAATAAATACTTTTATTATGTAAATGGAGATATTGCCTGTTGAATTGTAACAGATAAATATAAATTCCCGTGCAATTTATAAACACTCATTAACGATAGAGGATTTTACTTTGATATATAAATCGTATTATAAAATGTTGAACCTCTGACCTCATATTTTTACAAATATATATGAAATTGCATGCAATCAACGATGTTATCAATCATATTGAATCAAGAATAATCCATGATTATTATATTACGTTATTAGGTTTGGTTTCGATCAAAAAGCACAAATGAGAATTTCTACATAAGTACTTATCTTTGCCGTATTAATTGTGCGTTTTCGCAGAGATAGTGCACTTCTCTCTTCAATGTTTCATTATAAATTTTTTAGCATTATTTTATACGAATATATCTCTATAGTTGAATCATACAGTCTCGTGCAGGGTTTTGTTACTCGGGATAAAATTAAAAACTTATTCGACAGCTTTATGAAGTTAATCTCTTCTTTTTAAGAGCCTACACAAAATGTACTAAAAACTTTAATCCACTCGATCAAGCAGTTTCTGAGAGAAATATTGGATTGATTCGTAAGTTTCGCTTTACTTAACCAACTGAATTTTTATATTTAGAAAAGTCTTAGAACTATACATAAGTACTGATTCCTCGATGATACATTTTTGACTACTTGCAGCAGATGAAATAATTGGATACGAGCAATGTTGGTTTCTCAGACGGAGTGATTCAGTAATTATGTATAACGTTATGTGAATGCGAATATGCGCAGAACAGGCGCATATTAATATTACAAGTGCATTTATCTCTTTGTAGCCATATATAATTCTCCATTAATAATTACATGCCACTATAATTCTCCTCCTCTCTTCGTTCCCTTTACTATCTCTCTCACTCCCTCCCCTCCCCCTCCCCCCTCTCTCTCTTTCTCCTCTCTCTCTCTCTCTCTCTCTCTCTGTCACTAATATATTGATAGTACGGCCGATCAAACGCGCATCCAATCTCATTACGACACGTAATTCACAAGCGAATTACCGAAGCCTGCCAAGAGAGAAAATTCATCGCGACATTCGAATCACGAAAAAAAAGCGCCACACGGCAAATTGAATTACAACGCATCATATATCTCCTGGAGGATTGCTCGACAAAAAATCCCGCTTAAAAAAAAAAATTGTACCGCGCAAATCCCGAGGCATCAAAATCTCACGGCGAGCACATCCAGAGACGTTCTGTATATATTTTGAATGTCACGCATATTAGATTTTTCTCATGCCGCTGCGAAATTTATCATGCAGAAGTTTAAAGCAGCTTTCCAATTTTCCCAATACGTCGCGTCTCATATCCGAGAGATAATATTTATAATGATATTTATAACGAAATACAGATACTGAAAGAGAACAAAATAAACGGCGCTACAACACGTATCTTTATCGATAATAATTATAGCCTTAATTTCAACAAATTTGTAGATTACTAACCTCATGGACAGACGCACAGCGATACCCGTTCCGCCCAGCTGAAACGATAAAAACATTCAGTTAATAATTAATGGATATTATTACAGCCACTTACAATAATAAATGTACTCATAGAGTTTGCCGCCTAAACAGTTATTATTTCGAATTGACAGTAATGTATTTTCCAAGTAGTCAGAGGTGGCAAAGCACTCCTACAAAATAAATAAGCGGTCAGCGATGAAAATAAACAAGATTAACATATTTTCATTCTATCGCCGATAATTGGCCGTCTATAGAATGAGACCGTAAATTTAATTACGCGGTTAAACCGTGAAGTGCGTCGCAACGAAGCATGAAAGTGAGGAACACACTCTCGGCGCAGGCCGCAGTTTTTCCGCGCATCCTGTATGACAGGCGACGTAGCTTCGTGTCGGAATTTATGTGGAGAACATGCATCCGCCTGAATTCATCGTATAAGGGCTTACTCGTGCGATATGTCACACCAACACCAACCGCCACGCGGATGTGCGAGTGCGTGTCGGTGAAATCGTGGGTGTGCGCGCATCGGTTTTGCATTTTTCAAGCCGATAATTTATCAATCTTGTCCACCCCGATTCCACCCCAAATCCTATTCTCTAGCTGGCACGGCGGCGGAACGGCGAGGGTGGAAGAGGAAAGGCCGGTCGGTCTACGACCGGTCGTTTCTGGCAGGGAAATAATGAGCCTCTTTAAAGACCGGAAGTTTTCATTCGCGCGAGCCTGGAAAATCGATTTTCGCACTTTGTCGAACGCGCTATTTTCGCATCGTCATGCGTCAGAAGGCAACCGTGCGCCTCACTTTGCTCTCATGAAAGTGTCGGTATATTGTTGTCAAAATATCACGAATACGGCGATAATAAGCGTAACACAATCGCACGAAAATTTTGTAAAGCTCGTTTCATTAACCCGTCGAATTTTGTATTTTAAATTAACATTTCAATCACAAACTCTATTTGAAGAGCTAATTGGATTGGATTCAGATTTGTGTCTCTTATTGTTACGAACGTATCTAGATTAACTGGCATTGATAAATTTAATCTTGCTTTCAATCATATTATAAAATTTATCACGTGTAATTTTGTCGCGTAATCATTGGTTACAAATGTATTTCACATTTTTTATTCTATTCAATCGAAAGGTACAACCTGATAAAATGCTCGCTGCTTCGGCGAAAGGGAAACTGTATTCTTCTAACTTTGCTTTTATAGCTTTGCTAATTTTTTAGCTCGTTCAGCACAACGATGTAGAGGTGGAAACGAAAGTTCATCGACACAAAATAGCTGACTGAACGAGGTAACTTCGCTCAGTGAGAAACAAATACGACAATCTATTTGAAAACAAATTTTTCAGTGGGGCGAGAGATTTATTCTCCGCTCTGATTCTCTACTCGGACTAAAGTTATCTTGCTAATAATAAAAGAAAATAATAATCGTACGTGCGAAAAGAATGATGTGAAAAAAAAAATATTTAAAATAAAATATAATCAAGATCTTGTATCCGTCTTATTCATCGTAATTTATTTGTTCTTAGGCAAGGATATGTATACGTCATCGCGCAACGTTCATTTTATAACTTCTCCATTATGAAGAGCTAAGCGATTTTCCGAATCATTATTTAACTTCGCTTTTACCTCATTCAACGAAAGAAGCGGCGAAGAAGGAAATAAATTTTTTCTAGTTAAAACAAGAAAAACCACGTCGGTTTGGTAAAACTCTAATTTGAAAGCGCATTTTGCATATTTCAAAGTATATTTATATTTAATTATACTAAACCTTAGTTATAAATATATAATGTACGCCACACCATTAGTAAAATCAATAATTCATCTATAAATAAATAACAAATTTTAAAAACAAAGGTTTCAATTCCGCGATTAATTTTTTTATTACAAAATTGAGATAAGAAAATTGTAAATTTTACTTACAAGAATCTATTTTATTTCTTATACACGTAAGAATGTATATAATATACTTTCGAATTATTGTCATGTTTCGTATACACGAGTGGGATCTATCATAACTTCTACCGTGTGCGCCTAATGGAAAAAACTAGCTGAATATAAGTTATGGGATTTGCGAGAACAATATTGGAAAGCGCAAGTTATGTGCTTTTTCATTTTTTTAATTTAAAGTCACAATTCTCTCTCCGCCATTTCAGAGACACAAATTCATAACTTTTTTTCATGCCCAACTTTTACGTAAAATATGTAAACATTTTCCATTTATGCTTGTATTTAAAATATATATTTTTTACTTAGTTATTTACAAATCAACCCGTTTGTATAAACGCAATCGCTTTCGTCTTCTAATCGTATGAAATATAGTGCAAAATATCGACAGTCCATACACCAGGCGCGTTATGTTCTGAATTCAATAAGGAAAATTCGCTTCGCTCGTGGAATCGAAAATTATATACATCCTCATACACGTCTCGAGAGTTTCCTAGAAATTCTCAATTGCTTTCACGAAACTTTAAAGAGGTATGCAAGTTTGAACCGTTTTTCATAGTTAGGAGATCGCGGCTGTATATGTCAGACTTTCAAGTAGCAAAGAAGTGGTTATAGTCGGACGTATACAAAACGATCGTAGTAGTGCAAGCACTATATAGTCAGCCAGCACTTCCTCTATAAAACTGATCGTGCAATAAGTTGTAATTTCCAAATACTTTCATTGCAAACATTATCTGACAATTCTTTTCCAAAAAGCATCTCGATAAATTCGGTTATGCATGAGGTATATAATAAATAACGGTGGTGTCTTCAAAAAATTCTCTCGCTAAATGGTAGAAATTTTATCACGATGAAAGCAGTCCGTCCGCCCGTAAACTGATGGAAACGAAATAATGAAATGCGATGTACGTCAAATGAAACCAATTTGAGCCGTTATAATGACGGCTCGAATTCCCACGTATCAATGCATGCGGATTCAATAGAAGAAACTTCTATCATTAGATTATTGCGGAGAGAGTATTTCGTTTGGAAATTAAACTTTCAATGAACACCGATCAGTGAATGCATGAGAATTTCTCTCCGCTGGCGAAACGAGGGGAATTTTACTAATAATGACATAATCGTTATACTGCGTCGCTAATGAATCGCTCAGCACGAAATCACCATGTCCACCGAGGCACAGAATTCATCGGGAACTTTTTCAACTTCGAACTTAATTCAAAGCGAGGGGTGCGATAAGAAATTTATTCAGAAGCTGATGAGGTATTTCGTGCGGATTTTTCTTCCAACGCGTTCAACTCGATCACCGGACAGAGAAAAATGCCCATCGAAGGAACGAACTCCGATAATTCATCCCGATGAAGAAAGCAATTAGCAAAACGCAATTAGCGCATCGTCTGCGTTCATTTATTTTAATTTCCCATTCTTTTGCGCCATATATTCTCTTCAACGTTAACGCCGTACAAACATTTGCAACATTTATTAATTTACCATATATGTACAAACTGATTGTATAATACATGATGAATATTGTGGTGATAAATAAACAATTAGATATTTATCGTTATTTCCAAGCGTGGTCAATGAAAATATCGCAGACAGCGTGCGTTGCAATATTTAAGATATAAACGGTGTAAATATGAAGAATGGAAGGATCCAGATTTTCATAAAATCTCTTGATAAGGATGAGAATAGAAATCTGACATTATTGAAAAGGCGAGAGATTTATGATTCAAGGACGATAAAACAAAACGATGGCGGCTGAGGCGCGATTCGAAGAATGAAGCCCGGAAAACTTGTAATAGCGAAGGAAGACAAACTACAGCTCAGAAAGTTGCGGGAGTTCTGAAACTTGGCAGAAATAGATGCATGACCAATGTCTAGCAATGTTACTGGAACAAGACCGTTGTATTGCGCCAAGGGCCAGACAAGTTGTACAAGACAGAAGTTATTATGCCCAGGAGGAGTAGGGCACATTAGGATCAAAATCACAAATCCTTGGGCACGTGACTTGCTTGCGAAACTTCCGATCATTCCGGCGCCCGAACTTGCGGCCGATAAAAATATATCATTTGCCGTCGTACTTCATCGACATTTCGGCAAAAAGGAAAAGGGAGACGTATGCGCGCGCGGCGCCTACGAGAAACGCTCCCAACGTGACCGGCCGCGAAACAATCACCGTTTCGCGCCCGCCTAATTGTTGCCGTATATTTCTATTCATACTCGCTTCGGATTCCTACATTTCCTACCGTTCCAGGCGAACTAAGTTGTTTCCACTACCACTAAGAGCCTCGATCCTCGCACCTTCATCAGGTACCCTTTTATACGATGCAAATCGCTTTTTTGTCCGCGAGTTAGAGAGGGCAAAGGGGAAATTGCTCGTGACCTCTTGAAAGGACCCTCGCGTCGGCGTAGGATCAAGGTACACAATGAAGCCCGGCCTTTTGTTGCAACGATGATAATAATATTTGTCCAAGCATAATTCGGGAAATATATTCAGGACTTCATTTAAGACAGTATCGCCGCGTCGCAGAATTTTCTTTCAAGGATTCACGAGCCGTTGGAAAATTTATTTTACCTGCCTCTGGCTCTTATATAAAACTGCGCGGCGGCATTTATGCGCTACAAAACGCGATTTTATCGTTCTGAAAAGTTTCGCGATATTACGAGACATATATATCTCTCCTAAATCAGATGCGACAAAGTCATTACTGTGCGCGCGAGTCGACTTCTATTTTAATATCTCTACTTGTGTTAAGGATACTTGGACTGCACTTCGCCAACGAAATAATTTTATTTATCAATAGTCAGGAATGATATAATATAATCGCCGTACAGTATTGTATAATAAATTTAGCATTCAATCAGTCAATTAAAATTTTTTGCAACTTTAAACATGGAACCTTTTCCGTTGGAAAATAGAATACGCGCGCAAAATATATTTTGATTGCTTACTTAAACACACAGCTACATACATATAGCTCTGTGTCTTGTTTATATTTCTCTTAGAAAATACCCTGCACAAGTCGCACCGGCAGATATATTTTTATATGAAGATAAAGAGGAAATCAG